CTTAGCGGTTAAGTGCGTGCGCTTCGCTGCTGGCGGCCCGGGTTCGGATCCCGGGCGCGCACCGACGCACCGCTTGTCTGGCCATGCTGAGGCCGCGTCCCACATACAGCAACTAGAAGGATGTGCAGCTATGACATACAACTATCTACTGGGGCTTTGGGGGAAAAAAATAAATAAATAAAATTAAAAAAAAAAAACTAAAGGGGAGAGTTGTGGAACCACATGATTTCTAAGATTCCTTCCAGCTCTAAAACTCTCTTTAAGTCCCTAATGTAAATTATCATCAACATGGTAGATTTGATCATGCAAATTATCAAATTCATTTACCACAATTTAAAATTTAATAAATCTCTTATTTGAAATTCAATTCCCCTGGTGCTCTGCTAGTGTCCAAAGTTGACAGGGGACAACAGGATAGATGTGTGTGTGTGTGTGTGTGTGTGTGTGTGAGGAAGACTGGCTCTGAGCTAACATCTGTGCCCATCTTCCTCTATTTTGTATATAGGATGCTGCCACAGCATGGCTTGATGAATGGTGCACATTGGTCCACGCCTGGAATTCAAACCTGTGAACCCCAGGCTGCCGAAGCAGAGCATGCGAACCCAACCACTACACCACTGGGCCAGCCCCAGATACTTTTTAATTGAACTGTTTTTCTAAGGCAGACTCTAGAAAGATGTTTCTTTTTAACTAATAGAAAATAAAATGTAAACTACAGGACTATGGGTGACTTTAATTTATGACAGGTTCAAACTTTCTGATTGCATGTATGAAAGTCACAGCATGCAGAAGTTTTATTAACAAATGCAGGTAACCATTTTATAAATTCAAAGTCCATTCTCCAGCACAGTAATGTGGTGGAATTAGGGCAGGAGATAGGGAGAAGATCACAAATAATCCAAAGTTGCAATTAAGACTATCCAAAAAGAGGGGCTGGCCCGGTGGCATAGTGGTTAAGTTCACACACACCACGCCAGCAGCCCAGGGTGCACGGATTTGGATCTCAGGCACAGACCTACACACCGCACATCAAGCCATGCTGTGGTGGTGTCCCACATACAAAATAGAGGACGATTGGCACAGATGTTAGTTAGCTCAGGGCCAATCTTCCTTGCAAAAAAAAGAACTATTCAAAAAGAAGATAATGTAAACTACAGTTACAATTACATTAAATATTTAGAAACACATTTTTTGTTCTATAACCAAAAATAATACAAGTTTCATAGTTTGGAAGCATTAAACATCATATAAATTGCTTGATGAAACACCACCAAAAAGTTAACATGAGAAAATAATTATAGTTGTTTAATGTCCTAGTTGAAACCTTATTTTTTTTGAAACCTTAAAATAGGACCAAGGACTTCTACATCTACTATGTAGTTCTACATGTACTTCTACATTCTACCACGATGGACAATTCGAGGGAGACCAACCCTCCCACCAAAACAACCAGAGAAGCTGGATAAGATATTTGAGAAGCTATTTAAAGGCGTCAGATAACTACCCAGGCAACCAGGATTTGAGGAGACAAGATTCCAGAAAGAAAGGAAGCTTTGAGAAGTGAGCTCTACATTTTCTAGTGCTTTCCCCCTCAAAGTACTTGCTGATTCTTATGCCACACAGAACCAATATTCTTAGAAGGTGCAAGGCTGAGAAAGCTCTAGCACCTCACAGTGCTAGAAAGACAAAAATTGTAGTTCAGGGCCCACCAACGAGGAGGCCTGATAAACAGCCTAGGCTTTCCGTTATATTTTCTGGATGCTCAATCTTGGTTAAGAAGGTCTCCCTCGTCCCTAGTGTGTGCTCACAGGCTCTCTTATTTTCGTCTAAGCTGGATTTATTTTTTATATGGAGTAAGATTACAGTCAATTTTATTTTGCTTGAGATGGACCACCAGAACATCCTTTATGAAATAAACTATCCTTTCCCCTCTAAACTGAAACATCACTTTTGTCATGTATTAAACTAAACGATCTAAACAATCTACTTCTGGATTCTCTCTTTTGTTGCACTGATCTGTTTGCATATTCAAACATGTAGTGGATATTTATCATTCTTTTCGACTGTGCAGCATCTGAATCCTCTTCCTATATTTGGGAAAATCCCCACCTTCTGATTCTTATCTCCACCTCGAGCCCATCCCTCACGAAAGAAGCTGAAGATATCAGACAGAGGCTTTCTCAGCTCCCCGTGAAGCTAGGGTAACGGCCACCTCCTAAAATGGCCCCAGTGATCTCTGACTTCTGGCACTCACATCCTTGTATAATCCTCTCTCTCATCGAGTAGGGTCATTGCAGAAATGATGGTGCATGACTTCTGAGGGTGATCACGAGTTACTGTGGCTCCTGCCTTGTTTTCTGACTCACGTCACCCACTCTGGAGAAAGCCAGCTGCCAGACCATGAGCACCCTCAAGGTCTGGAGAGGTCCATGTGGGGAGGAACTGAGACCTCCCATGCACAGCTATATGAATGAGCCATCGTGGAAGCAGATCCTCCGGCCCAATCAAGCCTTGGATGACTGTGGGCTCCTGAAAGACCCTGAGCCAGAACCACTCAGTGAAGTGCTCCTAGATTCCTGATAGACACACACTGTGTGAGATAATAAATGTTTATTGTTTTAAGCTGCCTAGTTTTGGGGTAATTTGTTACACAGCAGTAGATAATATAGGGTACCCAAGTTCTCCTTTTGTTTTATATTCTTCAACAAGATTTTATAGTTTTCTTCATAAAGGAACTGTCTTTCTTCTCAAGTTTATTCCTAAGTATTTTGTGGCTTTTGTCTCTTATATGAATGAAATTTATTAAAAATGTCCATTTCTATGTGTTTTTTGCAAGATTAGAGCAAGTCTATTGACGTTTATATATTTATCTTATAGTCAATAATCTACCAGTTCTTATATTCATTACATATACATTTTTTTTTCTAACTAGACTCTCTTGGGTTTCCAGGATATACAATCATTTCACCAGTAAGAAGGAATTTCAAAATAAAAGACTTCAACTTTTCTAAAATTAATGCCAATTACTTCTTTTACTTGTCTTACTGTTAAATCCTCCTAAACAACGTGGCATAATACTGACAATAGTGGGTATCTCTGTTTCCTGATCCCTACTGAAATGGGTTTTAGTGTTTTGTTGTTTAGAATGATAGTTGCTATTGGCTGTTTTGTTTTTTTTTTTTTTGATTGAGGTATAATTTACATATAACAAAATTCACTCTTTTTTAGGTGTACAGTTGGATGAGTTTTAACCACCACCAAAATCAAGGTTAAGAGCATTTCCATCACCCCAAAAAGTTCCCTCATACTCTTTTGGGGTCATTCTTTTATATCTCTGCTTCAGTTTAAATAAGATATATGCACTTTTGATGGAACTCCACTGTTAATATTTGTTCAAGCTCTGTACGAACAGAGAACATATCTATATTGCTCACCCCTATACTGCCAGCACCTTGCATAATACCTGACACATACCAGGTCCTCAACACTTGCTGAATTAATACACGAGTGAATAAATGAACCAATCAACCAACCAACAAATTCACCTTTGTGCTCAGCCCCATTCTTTAATGTTCCCTGATGCCAACTCCTTCCTGCCTTGATCTCCCCAGTCTGCATCCTCCCTGACTCCTCACTGCTGGACTACAACTGTCTACCAGGTGAGCTATCCATTGCCCCTAATGGCACCCCTTTACCTCGCTGGTTTTCTCTTCCAAGAAGAAACTTAACAACAACAATAACAAAAAACAACAAAGGTGGCTGTTTCCAGTAGCGTCCATGGACATATAGTTTCAAAAGGGAAAAACTAAAATTAGGAAGCAAGAGAATCAGATCCAAAGATAGGGAGCTTAATAATCTGGAGTGTAAGTTTTGGAGGAGCTAGACCAAGGGGGCATTGAGGATCAAGAATGGGTCAAAAGTCAGAAGTGGAGGCCACAGGGGAGAAACAGCAAGGCTGGGAACCGAGTAAGCTGCCTACTTCTTTTACAGGGTGCACAGCCAGGGATCCTGTCTTAAAGGGGCAGAGTTGAGCCAGGCAATGGCCAGCCATCTTCTGCCAGGCCACTGTCTTGCGTTCCGCCTGCCTCATAAATTCCCACCATCATCTGCAAAAACATCTACCCACAAGCAATGGATCTATTTTGGAGGGCAGGTCTCATTCTCAGTTCCCTCCAGGTGCAGCACAAGTGACCCACCACTGACCAGTGAAGATGGAATTTGCAGTTTCAGAACTGGTTGCTTACTTGTTCAGAGCTAGAGAAAAAGCTGAAAAAGCTGAGCTGTGAAATGCAGAAAAGTGAAGGAACTCATCTTTTTCTAAATACAAAAAAAAAAAAAAAACGAGTTAAAATATTAAAAAATGCGATTGAGATATCTGAAGGTAATTCACACGCTAGTATACTCTTTAAAAAAATGCAAGCACAGAGGCATAAAAAAAAAAGCTTTGTTAGCTAGCCTTTGTTCACCAATAACAAATGTAGCTAATTTGGGCAAATGTAAATAAGGCACCAACACAACGTGTAAAGGCCAACCACAGATTTAAGATTGGCATATCTAAATAGGGGAATTTATAAAGATTATGATAGACTGTCACTGAAAAGCTTCTCTTCAGAAATTCGGGAGATTATCTGAAAACAAATTCGAAGTTCAATTTTTCTAAAGAAAGCAATAAGGAAGGGAGTGTTTTTGTTGAAAACGGGGTGCGGGTCGAGGTGGAGGGCATGTAAACGTTAAGTTAAAGAGACATAGAAAGTATCTCCAAAGGCGCAAGCTTTAGTAGGGACTTCCCTCACAGGAAAGACACCTGGCGTTCTATGTGACTTTCTAAACGCTGCGTATTTCTATGAAGTTACAAAGCTGCACTCCCTCTCTCGTTTGCAGCCTCATCGGTTTTGCTTTCAAATATCTGCAGGTGTATCCTCCTGCACCCGTTAAACTAACAGTTTGTTTCTTTTCTGTGCTAGATCGGACTCGACGACCATGCTCGCCACCTGACTTACAGCAGGGACCCTAGGACCGCCGGGTCACCGCCTTTGAACTTTACGACGGAGTCGAAGGAGTCAAGGTTACACGCCATTTCCCAGACAGGAAAAAAAAAAGCCCCACTACCCTCTTCTGTAAACCGAATCAGAAAGGCCTCGGGATTCCGGCCACGGAACGCGCAGAGGCAGTGAAGGCGCAGACTGCCCAAGGGTCACGCGAGAAGCCAGATTTCGGAAACGCGTGTTCACCAGCCGGAGGCGGGAGCCCAGACTCGGGGAGGCCGACCCCCAGAACTTAGGGCGGCCTTAGCCAAGGCGTGATGGCTTTCTAAGCCCGCTTCTAAAGGCTGTGTACACTGGAGAGTCCTGGAATTGGTACAGATCGCTACTGCGATCAGAAAGCGACGTCAATTCTGAAACACGCAGCTCGGAGCTCCCGCAAAGACATGCTAGGAAAATGCGGAAGATTGGGCCAAACTACGCAGCTGGTCAAGGATCACGATTCCCAGCATTCAATAGTGTACCCCCTAGTACGTTGCATGCCGGGAACTGTAGTCCCTCACCACCCCCATCTAAAGGCTCTCCGGGGACTTTTCAACCTCTTACGTGTTTCTCTTTCCCGTGAAGCACTACCAAATAGAAAGTAACTGCGAAAAGTCGCTGTGGACTAATTCCCAACGTGACCCCAAGCGTAGACAGCCGAAAAGGTGAAGAATGCGTTGCCATGGCTACCGTTTCCCCGGTCACGGAATAAACGTGCTCCACGACCCGGAAGTAGTTCCCCAAAACGAGGGATGGTTTCTGTGCTGACGTTCATTGGACGGTTTCCCTTAGAGGCCAAAGCTTCCCAGGCAAAGGGGCGGTCCCGCGTGAGAGGGGCCCGCGGAGCCATCTGATTGGAGAAAGGAGACTACGAATGACCAATCGGAAGGAGCCACGCTTCGGGCGTCGGATACCGCACCTGGACAGCTCCGATTGGTGGACTGTGGTCCCCCCCCGCGAGTCCTCATTGGGTACAGGGGGTGCGTGGTGCGGCATGATTGGTGGGTTCGTGTTTCCCGTCCCCCGCCCCCGAGAAGTGGGGGTGAAAAGCGGCCGGACCTGCTTGGGGGGTAGTGGGCGGACCGCGCGGGTTGAGGTGTGAGCATCGGAGCCCGGGCGTGTGGGGGCGGAGGCGGCTCCTGCGATCGAAAGGGACTTGAGACTCCCCGGCCGCGCGCCATGAGGGCCCTGTGGGTGCTGGGGCTCTGCTGCGTCCTGCTGACCTTCGGTGAGTGATTTGGAGGAGGGGTCACCCCCGGACGCCCCCCTCCTGAAGCGCGGCCACTTCTCGAAGGTTCTGGGGGCGTTGAGCCTGGGAGGGGAATAACGGGGCCTGCGATGGCCCGAGGGGGTCCATAGACTTTCCTCGAAAGAGGGTTCGGGGATTTCCTGTGCTCTCTCCTCCGTTTGGAGAGAAAGAGAACGGAGTCGTTTAAATCCCCTGCAGAGCTCGTGGACCCGGCTCCTGGAGGTCTCCACCGCCGCGGGGTGGGGCTCCCCCGGGCGCTCGCCCCCCGGGAGCACTGCGCGTGCACCCCCCGGGGGACTTCGGTCGGACGCCGCAACCTTTGGCCGTCAGCTTGGGGACCCCCGCCCTCGGTCCTCCGACCCCTCGCGAGCGCGCGTTTTCTTTCTTAGGCGCGGGTCTGGGAGCGCGGGGCCGTGGGTTAGCGGAAAGGCAGTGTCAGCGGGTTTGATTCACTCTTGCTCGAGCTCCCTAACATCTTCCAATCTCTTACCATCTCTTCCCCTTCTCAGCCCCCTGGGCCCAATTTCAGTTCCCCTCGCCAGAGGTTGCAGAAATCCTATTTATATCCGACCTGTGATATTGAAGGCCTAAGTTTTGGCAGGGTCAGTTTGGAGGCCTTGTCTCGGCTGCGCGCAACACGTGTGAATGTGGAAGGGGCCTGGTGTCAGATCTGCTGGACGTTATTTATAAAGGATTCGGGTTTAGAAGTAATGGCTGCCTCCGAATCTACTGGGGGACCTCAGTATCTGGACTTGAAGAAGAAATATACGGACTTGGGTTAACCTTGGGCGCTTAAGCCAGTGGATCCGTTCTTCCGTCCCCACCTCCCATATTTACCAGCTGAATTTTTGCAACCCCTGCCCTTGCTCTGTTTGATCATATTCCTGCTGAGAAGTACGTGAAGCGATGATGCTTAAGAGTTTTCCGGTGTTAAATGTTCCTTCAGGGTCGGTCCGCGCTGACGATGAAGTCGATGTGGATGGTACAGTTGAAGAGGATCTGGGTAAAAGTAGAGAAGGCTCAAGGACAGATGATGAAGTGGTACAGAGGTTTGTGTTCCTTTGAAGCTATACTTACTGATAAGCCCTTGTGAACAGTGGAATCCAGTAGCTTCTTTTGTGTCTCTTCTCCCAACGTGCAGATAAACTGTAACACCCCGAATTTAAATATCTAAAAAATGGTCAGAAAAAATATTAGATGTAGCAAGCATGTGCATACCTAAGTACCTCCTAACTTGCCCCTAAGAGTGACAGATCAAAATTGAATGAATTCCTTTGAAAACTATTTTGATAACTATATTTCAGAATATTAGCACTGTAACCTTCCGAAGACCTTAGAAAAGACTTTGAGTTGGTTTTATACTTAGTAAAGTATGTACACTTAGTGATTTTTAAAAAGATTTCTGTCAGTTGAGCGATGTTTTAAAATTTGGCCTCTTAGAACCTATTGACAATTTTATAGGTCCTTAGAGGCCAAAGCTTCCCAGCCAAAGGGGCAGTCCCATGTGTGAGGGGACATAAATGTGTGTGTCCCCACGTGTGAGGGGACATAAATGAATATGAGTTTACTTTTTAGTAGAGGAAAGTTGGGTTTGTATTTCTGACAATTTTAAGAATTGAGCGTTTCCAATTCGGTGTTAAGGGTAACCTACAGGGCCGGCCCCGTGGCTTGGTGGTTAAGTGAGCGTGCTCCACTGCTGGCGACCCGGGTTCGGATCCCGGGCTCGCACCGAGGCGCTGCTTCTCTGGCCATGTTGAGGCCGCGTCCCACATACAGCAACTAGAAGGATGTGCAGCTATGACACACAACTATCTACTGGGGCTTTGGGGGGAAAAAATAAATAAATAAAATCTTTATTAAAAAAAAAAAAAAAGGTAACCTACAGCTGTGGTAAAATAATGATGAGACTAGTAATATTTTATAAAGGTTTCCATTTTACTCTTTTAACCCTTAAGACAGTCTTAAGAGACTACTGTGCTCTCATCACAGATCCTGTATTTTTGGAGGGAACTAAGCAATGCAGTATTTGTTTATCAAATTTATTTCCGTAGAGAGGAAGAAGCTATTCAGTTGGATGGATTGAATGCATCCCAAATAAGAGAACTTAGAGAGAAATCAGAAAAGTTTGCCTTCCAAGCTGAAGTTAACAGAATGATGAAACTTATCATCAATTCCTTGTATAAAAATAAAGAGGTAAGCAACACGTGGTTAGGATAATATTATTTTGTTTCTGTATGGTTGCATACTTGTTTACTTTCACAGTACATGTACTTGCATAGTAATACCAAATAGTTAGCGAAGTTTAAATACCCAGCATGTACAAGAATTGCTGCTAATACCTATTGTGTGTGTGGGGGGTGGTGAGGGGGAGGGTTGTTAGATATTGTCTCTCCTTTGTTTTACCTTTCCTCTCCACATATGTTCATGGCCTGCTGAACAGTTGTGAGACTTAAGAGCAGTCACACAAACTGAACCTCGTGTATTGTATACATAAAGATCACTAGTAGAGTAGTGTTACTACTCTTACCAGTTCAGGTCTTCTTGTAGTTTCTATAGTCCCTTGTGTAAAGAGCTGTACCTCCTTTTACCAAGAGAGTAAAGCCACTTCTGTATCATAAGAAGTCTTTATTTTTTAAAGAGTGCTTTTTCCGAGTATGGAAGAGAAGTAAAATGAGTTTGACATTAAATTTAATGTTTTGCTAATCTAAGTGTGTATTAAATCTGGCTTCCATTTAGATTTTCCTGAGGGAACTGATTTCAAATGCTTCTGACGCTCTAGATAAGATAAGGCTAATATCACTGACTGATGAAAATGCTCTTTCTGGAAATGAGGAACTAACGGTCAAAATTAAGGTAAGCTTAAAACAATTTTCTTTTTCTTTTAAAGTGAAAAGAATCCTTAGAGATAGGGAATCCATATCAGTCAAGTTAGGCTAGGTTATGCTGCAGTAACAAGTAGCCCACCAGTCTCAGGGGCTTAAATCAGGGGTCAGCAAAATATGACCTGTGGGCCGAATCCAACTTGCTGCCTGTTTTCTTATAAATAAAGTTTTATTGGAACACAGCCATGCCCGTTTGTATATTATCTGTGTGACTGCTTTTGTGCTACCTGGCAGAGTTGAGTAGTTTTGATAGAGACCATAGGGCCCACAAAGCCTAAAATATTTACTCTTTGCCCTTTTACAGAAAAAGTTTGCCAACCCCTGGCTTAAATCATCAATCACAGGCTGCCTGTGGCCTTTGCTTTGCGTCATCCTCCCGCCAGGACACAGGCTGATGGAGCAGCGCCATCTGGAGTGTAGCTGGTTGCTGAGTGCAGGGAGAGCTTGGAGGGTCTCAGGTCAATTAAAGGCTCCAGCCTCAAAGCCACACTCCTGACTCCCACTTGCAACTCGTTGGCCAGAACTAGTCACATGGTCTTACCCAACCACAAATCGAGAAAGTATATTCCTTCTGTGTTTCTGGAAGGCAGAGAGCCAGGAATATTTGGTGAAGAACACTGATCACCACAGATTCCAAATACAGAAGTCATTCAAGTTTTTAATCCTTTTATTTTCTATCAAAGAAATAGGCAATACGTAAAATTTTATTTTTCTTGAATTTTTTCTTCAAAAACAACTTGTTTTGTTTTGGTCTCTCTCTGCCCTTTGACATTTAGACCAGTCTCTGCCTCCTTTATATTGATACTTTCTCAGATACACTGAACTTAAAATTCTCTATAAAGAAAGATGCTTGTGGGCCGGCCCCGTGGCTTAGCGGTTAAGTGCGTGCACTCGGCTGCTGGCGGCCCGGGTTCGGATCCCG